TTTCCCAAGGTTAGCACCAAAATAGCCCCCTACACTGTTATGGTAAACTATAGGTAAAGTCCAGGTCATTTGTCTTCTGCTTTTCAAGTGCCAACTAGGCAGTTGTTTCCGAGCAAGCCATAACTATACTGTACTATCAGTAGCCCTTGAGAGCCTTCAGGGTGGAATCCATTTGTTCCAGGTGTCTACAATGGCAGAAAAAACCCAAGCCTTCATAAACTACTTTAACAACTGAATGAATAAGGGAATAAAACCCATCTTTATGAACAGATGCAAACAAAGTGCAAGACAAATTCAGGGTACCTTTGTAACAATGCCACTTCTGAGAAAGACTAACTCAGTTTCTGGATGCCTTAATCATTACTGTTCAGTGGTATCAGTTAACAGTACAATTCTGTATTAATTATGTCAGTCACTGGTATTATACCTACTGGTATTAAGATGTAAAAAGGACATGCAATTACAGATCTGCAAGTCACAGCGATTACATGAGACGCCGCTCAGCAGCCAAGCTGTGGCAACTCGCCACCCAGCACGTTGCCAAGTCTTTCCCCCCGCCGTGGGTCAGCTCCCACCCTGTGAACCTGCTTCGCCTGTGAGAAGAGGCACGGGCAGATACCAGTCACCCAGCCAGGGCAACGCGCACTAGCTTGCTGCCTCTGTAACCGAATCACTGTTATGCAAGATTTGGGCACTGCTCCCATCAATGTTTCTCTAAAGTTGCCATGGTCTAGACTGAGCTTAGTGCTGCCGGCAGGTATTGCGTGTGCCCAGCACCCAGAGGAGCTAGGCAGAGTCCAGGCGTTACTTGGCCTAAGCTTACACCAGCTCCCTGGGCAAGCAGAAGCAAGGCAGATGTTTTACAGGTGTACCAATGCTTACCTTCAGACACCAGGAAAAATTCAGGCACATCAACTAGGTATCTCGTTTGGCAATACCAGAGAATAAAACTTCCAGGATAGCTCTTGGCCATAAAACTGTATGGAGGACTGTGGCAGAAGCTAAAGCAGGATCTATGTCGCCCAGATTTTACTCCAAAGTCCTATTAAGATGCTGATAAAAAGGTATTTCAATCCATGTGCAGCCATTAAACATGACCATTAAGTCCTTAGCTTAAAACATCCAGCAAAATCAGCCACTAAATTACCAAATGGGCTCCGAGATATTACATTTTCAATAGCTAACCTATTTTACTGCAAACAAAAAAATTCCTATTCAAAAATACACATGCAGAATATTTTGTTTCAGTGCTGCAGACTGTCACTTCCAGTTTGCACATAATGACAAGGCAGCAAGTGGAAAACCGGAATTAAATTAAATTGAGGAAATATACCACTGCCGTAACTAGATTTGTCCAGTTCTCTTCTACACTCAACCTCTACATCTTCAGCTTTTTTTTTTATTTTTAAAGACAAATTTAATTTCATAAACCAATTACCCTTTTCAGCAGCTTGCATGTGATCAGCTCATCCACCCATTAACTGTTCATGCTGGGGATTACACTCGCAGTGCCAGGCTGAGGCAGTTTCCCGGGCTGCTGCTTTCGCTCGGTTCCTGAAGCACCGTACAATGGCTGCGTCTTGGGGCAGCCGCTGTGGCTAGCCAGAGAACAGTTTAGCAGTATGATTTCAGATTAATTCTTGTGCAATTCTGTAACAGCCTAGCAGGCTGTGCAACACAGATGGCACCCTCACACTGACAGGCACAGTCCTGTGCTTTTGCCAAGAAAAGAAAACACAGGGAGGGGAAAGGCCCGAGACTGCCCTCCCACAGAGCTCCTTCTGCCCCACACGCTCCTTTCCTCATCCCCACCTCCCACAGGTGGGCTGAAAGATCCTCCAGTAGATCCAGAAGACCTTCAACATCTTTCCTTATAACATGAATGAATGCCTTCATCCAAACCTCCTTCTTGTGGTTTCTGGTGGACTGCTTTACTCTCTAGTGAGCAAAGAAATCCACAGCTTTTGAGAACAATTTGACTTTTGAGAGAGAAGGGGGGACTGTGTTGCAGGATCTGTACAGGCCTTGATTATTTCTAGTTCAAGACAAGGTCAGCTGTGATGGAAAGGCAGCACTACCATAAGCTTCCACGTGCCTGCCAAGCACAGAACTGGCACGTCTCCAAATCCAATTGCAGTTTGAGTAGAACTAAACTGATACTGGAAACAAAACTGCTGAGGCAAACAGATTTTTTTAAAGTTGTTCGACTGTGCTACTTGCCTTGCTTTTTTTATGAACATTTACTATTAGACATCTCACCACAATCAGAAAGCTAGAAGAGAAGTAGTAACACAATATCTTAGAGAAAATGAGATCTAAGCAAATGCAGCAATGTTTAATTTATGAATTAAAACTTGAAGTATTTATGATTTATTAGTAAGAAATTAAACAAGGAGTTAGGCCTTCCTAAAAGTGAAGTTCAAATTTAATTTCATACCATACAGGAATGCAGGCACGCCTGTATCATGCAATAAAGTGGCAGAATAGGGACCTCAGTCCCAGCAATCACAGGTCAAACACACTCTAGTGCTGAAAGGGACTACAGACACTTGATCTCCATGTAGCTAATCAGCCTGGAGAGACTGCCTCGTCTCATCAGGGAGCATGAGCAAGTAATTTTAGAGAGCAGGAAGCATAAGTAAGTATCTCTGCTGTTACATCGCAGTGGAACACAGTGCTCAGCTGTACTACTAGC